AATTGTGCAAAAGATTCCCAAACACAAATGCCACAAAAAGAAAACAATGCACGATCACTCCTCCTCCTCTGTTCGCTCACCACAAATAAATCTTTCAGCACAAACACAGATCAAAGACACTGTCTTTCCCGTTTAGTGATAAATCCTGGCATGTGTCATCTTTTTTGTCAGAACATCCAATTGATTTTAATAGATGTAGTGACAAAAGAGAAGATGGGAAGTATATCTGCTAAGGCGCACAACAAAGTCAGAAAACAGCATTCAGTTTTTATTAAGCAGCAGCCCTGTTGGAAAAGCCAGAATTAAAGATGGCTGGCTGAGAGGTGGAACATGATGAAGCAATAAGAGGCTTCACGCAAACCAGACCAGGACAAGATATTAACAAATTCTACAAACAGCGGAGAAAGAACTTCTCAGATCTTTAACTAATGTTGAAATACCACATTAAGTAAGAGCAATGATATGAAAGTAAAGGCAGCAGATGTGCGGCTGATTATTTATATCCTGAGTCAATCAGTTGTTAGCAGACAACCAAATACTTTGTTCATGTATTCATTATACTGCAAAGCCGAACAGACACAATCTGCAAATCCCTCGCACCACTCCATTCACATAAAACACAGTTATTTTTCAAGTGCAGCTACTATGTATCTCATATGCTGAAGATTGTTACTGCTTTAATACTGCTGTACTGGTACACTCTTTAAATTCAATTCCTTATTTCAATCCATTTTTGTCTATCTAAATATGAATCGATCGCATGTATTAGACAGTGAGGACAAAAATGATTTTTGTGTTAAAATGACTTTTTATCAGTATATATATATATATATATATATAGAAACATATACACACACACATACATATATGTATATGTACATATATGTATACATATATACACACCTATATGTATGTACAAAACCAGTATTCTTTTATTATTTCCTTTTTTACACAGTATTCCAGTGCAGCAAATCCATGTTCAGTTCAACAATTAACAGCCAGTTCACATATTTTCTACAATCTCCTCCTTCAGTTGTTGCTCCTGGCCATGGGCCAACGAGAGTGAAGATGTAAGTACAGTATAACCATGTGTGAGGGGCCACATCAGGGTGCATTTTATGTGTGTGAATCGTTCGCAGGGAGGCATGGACGCGGCCATTAGACGATCACTTCTCCCCGACTCTCCACCTCTGTGTGTGCGAGCGTGTAGTTAATTCTTGGAAAAGAGGAATGTGTAAAGTTTTTTTATGACTCACACTGAAACAGACACAAGCATGCACATATACACACACACTTATGGGGTGACAGAGTGCACGGGCTGAGCTCAGATGAACCAATGGCAGAGGTCCAAAAGAGGCAGTCAGAATCCTCAGCAGGCAGCCTCGGTTGTCTTAGTGAGCACAAGTGTGAGTGGGTGGGAGTCTGAGCATCTGCACAAGAGGCTGCAAGGGGTAGTAATTGTATAACAATATGAGTTTGTGTAATTCTGCAGCCAGGTGGGATTGGCTGCATGCATGTAAGGAAATGTATAGTATAGAGATGTTTCTTTTAAGGCTCATTTTGTTGTAGATAATTGTGCAGAAGTTACTGTGTCACGATGGGATGCAAGGATACATTACTGCTGCCAACCTTTAAAAGCTTGATTGAAATTTCATAACTGCTACAGGAGGCAGGACACAGTAAAGCAGCAGTGTGCTCCCTTGCAAGTGGTCAGTCAATACTGGCAGCGGGGAAGAGATGTGTCCCCCCGGGGAGAGAGCAGAGAGTCAGGGAGGAGACTTACTACACCAACACTCATCCCACTGATCCCAAAATACAGCATGATGTCATACAGATTCCAATACAGATTCTGCAGTAGCAGAAACAGGGTCATATGCACTTGACTAATGCACAACTGAAGAAGAAGAAGAAGAAAAAAAGTACAGGGAAGGAGGGAAGAAGAAAGAGGAAGAGTAAAGGGCTGCTTAAAATATTCAACCCCCTTCCATTAACTAATCATGAAGGGATGGGAACACAACCTGCACAGTGCATCTCATGATAGAATGTAGGAAGAAAAGAACGGAGGGTGGGGGCAAAGACGGAGAGAGATGGTGCATGTGGGAGTAAACCACTTTCAACCAGTAGCCCTTAAATCCAGCTCAGCATTTTCTCAGTGATGTCATCTTTTTCCCTTTCATCTCCATCTGCTCTCTCGCTGCGTCCTCACTAAGCTTTTTGCATCTTGCACGCACATGCTAGCGACTGCCCCCCCCCCCTTGCTCTTCCCTCCCCCGACTCCCATACCCTGTTGTAAGGTGCACCTCAAAAGAAGAAGCATCTTGTTGTGCCTAGATACCTGAAGTTGTCTAAGGGAGGTGCGTTTGGTGCCTTCACTCCTCATTTCTTCGTTCCTTCACAGCTTCGTCGCATCATCTAACAGGGAGTGTGGTGCTCCAACAAACTGGGAAATGGCTGCCAGCTGCATGGACAGGGCCAGACAGGGGAGACACATTGTTATGGCATTTTTTTTATTTTTTTATTCAAAGAAGGCAGCGTAGCTCTGGAAAGGGAAAAGACCATTTAGCAGTCTTTTTTTTTTTATAGCAGTCGAGTTAGTGCAGTACGCTTCCTCCTAAAAAATGTAGAAAAAAGTTCACAACACTGACAAGTATGCTTTCAGCTCTGGAGCTGCAGCAATCTGGCTGATCTCTGTCATCAGAGGCTGATCTGATCTACTGTCACTTTTCATCCTCCTCCAAAAACTCATCATTTTTGAGTCATCAGCAGCAGTGGATTATTTCTAACCAATGCTTCCAAACACAAAAAAGTTTTTCCACAAACATGTCAAAACTCGATATGTAGTCAAGTGAAATAAAGCTGCTCAACAAAAGACGTTTATACAACCTGGTTCATGAGCAGATGCTGCCATCTGTTTGTGTTTTCTTTTCTTTTTTTTTGATAGAGGACATGCAGGGTCAGGTTAATTAACGGGAACAATGATATCAACTTTGAGTGTGAGTGTAAATGCTTGTTTATGTCTCTATGTGACCCTGCATGGCCTGCTGGGATTAGCTCCAGTGACCCCAATACTTTGAACAAGGATTAACTGGTAAATAAAAAAGTGAAGCCAGAGATCTGCAAGGTTTCGATTGAAAATATTCACCAGTGTGAAAAAGCCAGAGCACGAGGTCACCGACTATATTTGGGGGGGGGCACCCTAGAACTGGACATATGAAACAAACGTCACATTTAACAGTTACTTTTGAAATCCAGTCGTGAGCGGATTGGAGGGGTCAGTGGGCAGGATTTGGAGGGGACCAGTTGATGATCATTGCGCTAGTAGATGACAATAATTCAAGGACAACTATGTCGCACTTCCACTAAAAACCAAAGAAAAAAAGGTAAGGATTTATATATTATATAAATTATAGAGTGTGCATGTTTGTATGAAGAGTAGAGAGTATGTTGTTTTTGCCACCTCCCATCACTAATGACCGAGCTAGAAAATGACCGACATCTAAAGTAGATTATCTCCCATTTTGGAGGGAGTTTCACCAAAAACTCTCCACGATAAAGCATGACATTTATTTTGCTAAAGTTCTGAGGTAAACATTGGATTCAGAATTAATCCCCTGTTCACAGGGAGTAGAAACACTCATTTGTTTTATTCCAGTCCAAGTACTATGTAATTTTGGCGGGTTGCGCACAGATGTTAGCACTTAAATATTAGTCTTTGCTTCTTCAAGTCATAAAACATTTTAAGGATCAGAATTATAACCCAAATAGTACTGTCAGTACAACTGTTATCATTGGAAAAATAAGTATTCGTAAATCTGTTCTGTTTTGCAATTGAAATGCATTAGAAAATGCTTTTCTAATAGAAACTGATCAGGTTAAATAGTAGCTTGTTACATTTTTAAATGAGCTTTTTTTTAAGTACACACACGTATGTATACACAGGTATATACAGTACATATATGTGTATTTCGGTAAACATAGGTTTGTATACTTGACACTACTAAGAGACTATTTGGGCTGACAAAAGAATTACAGTAAAAAATAAGAAAGAAAGAAACAAATGAAATACAGGGCTAATTAAAATTATTAATCACAAAGTAGCTGTGACTTCTATCATTAATCTTGATAATGAGTATGCATGATTAATTATTGATAATCAACACTCCAATGATATATGTACATATACAATATATGAGGTACTGTAAGTGAAGATTGATAGATATTTGTCTGTATATATGTATACATATATCTGTATGTATATATATATATATATATACATATATACAGAAATTTAAAAAACCACCATCTACATTTTCAATGATGTAACATCCTTTTTACAACTGTTTGTGTATATAACTTTAGAGGCAGCAAAGCATCACCAACACCAGAAGTTTGATTTCAACTTCCTGTTGTCTGGTCCTGGAGAGCTGTTTCTCTCCAGGACCAGACTAGGAAACAGAGTGCTGAGGAGGCTGAAGAGGAAAAATAAAAGTGAGAACCACAGCAGACAGAAAATAAACGGAGTGACTGTGTAACAGGAGGCTTGTTTTGTTCCAAATAATTGCTTTATGGCAACGCAGGGGGTGAATAGTTCCTTGCAGCTGACTACAAGCCAGCAGGTTCAATATTGACATTCTCCTTAGAGATAGCCAAGTTGGCTGGGTGAGGTCAGGGACTGGACCTTTATAAGAGCCAGCCGACATTAGTGGTCACGGCTGGGGGACAGTTACTGTAACCTTGGCCTCTCAGGATAATGGAGTCCAGAAGAGGTACCTCCCCTTTATGGGCCTCATTACCGTAAGAGAGCTCAGTCCTCCAGTGGCCCGATTTAAAACACAGATCATTACTTCATCAAAACAGCTACCAGACCACATTGGCACATGCACAGGCTAGCTTGTGTGGCAAACAAAGTCTCCGAGTGCCAGTTGTTGAGTGCAGCAGCCGTGGGAGATGAGGCCAGGACGGCGGGAAGAAAAAAAAACAAAACAAAAAAAGCAAGCAGCTCACTTTTGGACAAATGACCTTTTATTACTTCTCATTTCAACAGCACTTACAATTCTGCCGATTCCACGGCACGGTGCTGCATCATAGGCAACAATGTTTCCTCAGAGTTACGGCTCAGGGTGCTGCCACAGAACATTAAAACACTACAGTGAACTTCACGTCGCTGCTTTGCTGAAACAACATCTCCATTGTTATTCCCGTGGTCAATTTATTTGAGGGAAAAACTCAAATAGGGAAAGGACGTGAGTTGTCTAGGTGGGTTGGTCCAAGTGGTCAAGGTTCCGGCACCTGGGGACACACTGTAGCAGTCCTTGGAGGGGCACTGGAAAGAGGAGCACAAGAGGAGAACATCAAATTCTGGGGAAAGAGATATGATTAAACGGGAACCGTGGCTGTGATACAGGTGCTAAAGTAGAGAAGTAAAAAGAGAAGGAAGTGGAGGAGTTAAGAGGAAGAAAAAGAGAAGGTCATCTGAGGTGATGCAGACTCTGTACGGTGGGCTGTTTTCATGAAAGATGGAGCAGGGCCACTCTCCTCCTCCTGTGATTCTGTTCTGGCTCCAGTTACTGGACTGGAGCCTCACAAAAGCTCTCTCCCTCACACACACAAACCAAACACATGTCTCCGGCCTCCCACACACATGCTCGTTCTTCTTTACCTCATACTTGTGAGTTGTTTCTTTTTTTCTTTTTTTTTACAGAAATAGATGTGGCATCAGATCACATAGTAAATCAATACATATAAGTCCCAATGAAACACTGCTGCACACATACACACACACAGAGTTCCTGTGCAGAGGGCCGTCTCAAAGTCCAAACCACTCCGTGACCCCTCCTCTCCTGGGGTCAGATTTCTGCTTCTGCTTCTCATCTTCCATGTACTTCTCCGTCAATTCTTCCATGGAGCCCTCTGCTGGCTTTCTGTCCTTTTCCGGGAAGATGTCAGGAAAGGTGAATGTCTGGCTCTGGGCCTGAGAGGGGGAGAAGCAAAAACAGAAAAATGAGAATGAAAAACAAAACTACAACGATCTTGTCCAAACACACAAGGAATTTGTTGCATATTATTACAATAACATTCTTTTTTTTGTTGTGTTTCTTTTGTTACAAATACGTGTTAAAATTGCACACTTCTTTTCACACCCTTTATCCATAGACAAGTCAGAAACTGACTTTGAATGCAGGACATTTTCTCTCTCTTTCTCATCCAGTTCCACAAACACACTCTTACTTTGGCATTCGATTTCTCCAACTCTCCCACATTTAATCTCTCATCTCTCTCCATTTCTCTGGTCTTGATTTATTCAGAGGGAAAGGATGGTATCCATTATTTATTCCATACTAACCCATCTTCAGCCCTGGCTAATGCATCAGTGGCCTGAACATGGTCTGTGTCAAGGCTGCTGTGGAGAACAGTGGACACATGGACACTTGCACACCTACACAGTTAAAAAAAAACCCAAAAAACCCCTGCTTAACGGGTCAGAGGGTTTAGCAAAACAGGCATGTACAAAAAGGGGCCACGTTTTATTCCTCCTAAGAAAAGATTATTCAGCTTAAACCAGTTTCTTTGTAATTTTCTTTTAAAAGAACCCATTTTTTAAAAATGTTTCAGTTCAAGTTTTTTTTTTCCTCCTACTTCCATGTTACTCAGTGGGGACAGTGTTCTTTGGGTGTGTTTCCTCTCATCCACAAATTGATGCAGAATGTCCAAACAGTTATAATCCAACCCTGTGTTTTTCAGTAGCAATGCATAATATCAATTTTTTCCCCTCTGATACAGATAAATATATAACAGTATAACAATATATAACAGTTTAACCAGCAGTTCCTGATCCTTTATAACCATGCACCCCTTCCATTACCCAACTAGGGGTTGACAAACCCCCAAACTCCCATATCTTTGAAAAGAGAAAAAGGAAAAAGGGCAGCCTAAACCACACTTTTGGAATTCCACTTTAGGAATCCCTTTTAAAGGACCTATTATTTTGTGCATTTCTTATTACATTGGTTGTGTTGAAACTAGATGGCTTTTATCATTCTCTTGATAGCACTGATGTCATTCCTTGACATGCTAACAACCAGACCGGCAACGAGGAGACTGATGGCTGTCTGCTCAGAGCATGGTTTAGAACCCTGCTACAGTAGGTATATAGCACTGAATATCATACATAAAAAAATTAACAAACTGTTTACCAACACTGCTTTTGACAACCAATATTAACGTGGACATGTTGGTTCATTTTAACTATATTTGTTATTTGTTTTCCATGTTCTGTGCTCTGTAAAAAAAACAACTTTGGAATTAATTGAAAACATCACCAAACACATACTAACTATTTACACTGACACAAACTACAGAATACTGTCATCTTAACAAATAATCACGTCAGGCATGCTATAAACTTCCGATCACTATTTAACTGATTGCTGTCAAGAAGATGTCTGTCAATCAAGTTCTCTAAAAATGTGAAACAGTTAGTTTGGGGTCAGTGTGTAGGCGCTAAGGAATGGTCTGGCTCTGATGTGAATGTTACTTTGTCTGTCTACAACCCCCAAAATACAGAGAGAAACATGCATATAATTACCACATAGCACGGTTTAATTCTCACAGGGGGAGACAACACAAAGCTGCCTCAGCCAAAGATGCAGATGCAGTTAGCCTAGCCTACTCCATTTGACAGGGACGACCTACAGCTGGAGTCCCAACTCGCAACTCTGTGTTTATGCTTGTGCGTGTTTACTCTTGTTAGCGCAGGTGTATGTTTTGGTGTTTTTATTTTTGCTTTTTAAAAACCATGGCCATATATTGACACCAACAATGTTTTTAGAGTAGATAAATAGTTGTTTGGTAGTGCACAGCCAAGTGGATGGTAAAAGCCACACAACATTTGATGAGAAGTAACATCACATATTACTTTATATTACCATTGCATAGGCTGCAAATGATTTTCATCAAAATGATTAAATAAATGCAAACAAAAGCCCCTCACAACTCTTACTTCTTGATGCACTGGAGCATCACAACACCATTTTTTCCTGCAACTAGTATTTCCCAGAATCGTTTATGTTTATCTTAATTTTTATAAAAGAGAGACATGATTTGTTTTCAAAATAAATAAATAAAGATAAAATAAATGGTTTGTGTCATCATATATGTCCAACTAACAATACATTCCTTCACCTTTTCCCTGATGGGGAGGTCACCTCTCAAAGAGCCATCATGTGACTTAAATAACAACCTGAAGCTGTTTATTAGTGACAGCTATAACGAGACTAAAGACTGCCCCCCAGAGGTCAAAAAGACCTTGGCATCACCAGTTGCTACTGAAACATTAGACATAATAACCTAAATATTGGTGTTTACTCAGATGTTTTGAAGAATGAGGTGGTCTTAAAGTTTGGTTGATGGTTCAGTTCCAGTCTCTGCCAAACTACATGCCAAAGTGTCCTTTGGTAAAACATTTAACCAATTGTTTCTTTTTCTTGCTGTGGTTAGTTGAGTTAGACAAACGCAATGTCAAATTTGCTATACTTAAATGCAAATTAATTTGGTGCTAATGGGGTGAAAATGTGTAAATCGCAAAATAAATAAAATCACCTTTTATTGATAATTGGTAATAATTGACAAGAGAAAAGCACTGAGTAAATATTGATTATTTCCTTTTACCTAGTAAAGTTGTGGACATGAACAACTGAGGGCAAAAATATGAAATAACTACAATTATATTATTGGAATTACGCTTATTCAGATTAGTTACGGTGAGCATAGCCTACCTATTCAGCATTTTTACAAACTCTGTGCACAGAGCGTAAACATCTTACTCACTCGGACGGGGCATGTCGCCTATGGAGATCTGTGCCTCGAGAAAAACAAGGCTTTAGTCAGGCAAAGGCAGAAAGCTGCCAAAGAAGCACCTAGAAACCAAGCGCCCTGCCAAGATACTCAGTGTCTTTCTGCTCGCTGTACATGCCGTCATCGAGGAACGCAGAATCCAGAACACAAGGAGTGGGCCAAGTCTGCTGAAGGAGTGTGAAAAAGGAGCAGGACGCACTGAGAAAAATGGAGATAATGGTATTTAAAAAACCTGATCAAGACATCACCTAACAAGAACCCAATGACGTAAGGGTAGTGGAAGTTTCCCCTTTTAATGCAGCACTGGAATTCAAATAAACATGCAGGTAAAGAATACATTCCTACAAACAGTGACATATGGTCCATTTTGGATGTGATAGACACAGCAGTCCTAACAGTCAGCTCCTCTATTTCCCACTGAAATGTACACCTGGTCGCCTCCATATCTGAGTCCCAAGCCAAAACTTTACTGGATGTCTGTAGGCCTCTGTTTTTTCATATATCTCACAGTAGAAATATTTCTATAACAGCATGAGACTAGAAGACCAAAGTCTGTCCAAAAACAGAGAAAATGGATAGAAACAATTAGGAATTATGTGCTTCCAAAAGTTTCCTTTCTGTTGCCGTCTATGCTTCCAAGACAACACAACAAACAAAAGCGAAAGAGTGGATATTTTCTCTCAATCTGCCATCATCTTCTTCCCCAACTGAATAAAGCTGTCATCCAGGAATACTGGGACAAGGCCCCACACTGCTAGAGATGTAAACATACTCCTCTTACGCACATGAACAACCCATTACACCCACAGTTTCCCTCTCAAAAGACTGTGTGGGGGGAGGCTTGTGTTAAGAGGGGAAGGCAAATGTTGTCATTGACTCAAGACCAACCTTTCTCACTTTCCTCATTTGTATGTATGTTTATGTATCCTTTTTCAAGCCCCGATTCAAAGTCTTGTTCTGCTACAGGAAGTACATTTACTGTGTCGGTCTGACCTGTGTCAAACATTCAGATGTTTAACCAACTCACTGGGGGACAGTTGTCAAATAAAGAACAACAATTTAATGTTTTCAACAGCAGTTACACTGAGGTGTAAACCTTTAGGCTCCCAATGTGTTTTTCAATAAAATATCTCAGAATCAAACTTTGGACTGTCTGTGTTTGTGAGCCGGCTCATGCAGATACACAGACCAAAAGTAATCCTGTTTTCACCCCAAAGGGGAAACAGGGGGGAGAGAGGCAAAAAAGAGCAGGCGAGCAATGGAAAGAGACACACAAAGGACAACTGTATTCTGTGTGTTTCTCTCTAATAATTTCCCCCTCAGAGGAAAAAAAGAAGAATGTTGAAAGAATAGACAAATGTGTGTCCGGCAACCTTGGAATGCATGTGAAATCAATACATGGGAAATGTGAAGGGGGGGGGGTGACGTTTTTATAATTCATAAGCTTAGATTTAACTGTGAAATATGAAAGCCCTAGTTATTCTGGCTTGATGTGTAAAATGTCTTTGATGAAAACAGGAAGGTGCTTTTCCAACCTGGCACTGAACCCAACAGTCACCAGTGGGGGACACAAAAGGTTGATTCAACCTGCTGCTCTGGGAGTGCAAGCAGACGTCGCGGTTTGACAAATCAGACACTGAAGACCATTAAAATGATTGAGTGTCAATAGGTGAAAGGTATGCTACAAATGTACAAATTGAAAAATACAAGCCAAATAAGATTTCTTAACCCAACTGAGGTGGGTTTGACTTCAACTTCCAAAATCCTCAATCCGCAGGGTAGCCTTCACGGTATCGGGTTTTACGTCCTCTGGAATAAAAGAAATATGAAGTAACATTTTATTACAGCTGTAAAACTACTTTGGGTCAAATGTAGACTGCCATTGAGATAATTAAGATAACTTAAAAACTGAATCCATCAGAATTGACATTCTAACCGTTCTCCAGTGGCCTCAAACCACCATCTTTCTTATGCTTTATAAACCATGAACACCTAGTGCAGATCGGGCAATTCTGGGGTGTAGGGCAAGGGGAAAAGAATGTCAACTTAACTAATGATGTCATTAGACAAAATACAGAATAAAGAATTTCTACGTGTTTATTAAACCAAAAAAGGCTA